TCTGCCAGGCGAGCTCCCTTGTTTAACCTTCTCCTGGGGCTCCCACTGCCCCAGAAATGACTCCTCACAGCTAACACCACCAAACTCATTCCCACCTGTAACCAGCATCCTGTCACACTGCTCAGCCTCTGGCCTTGAGTGCTCTGCTTTTCTGGGTTATTGTTCTGACTGGTTCAGATGAGTTACTCCAAACATGAACTCAACAGCTTTTTAAATATATATCTCAAGTGACAGGTGAATATTTCACACTCTTTACTTTAACAAAGTCTCATACAATCTGTCACAACAATGCCTTAATAAATGTTAAATTGGCAACAGACATGTAGAAGCCAATTCGTGTTAACCACACTTTTCAAACAGGACTGGTCAAAGCCTGTCAGAGCAATAACATTTTGAAAACATATCACTTAACATTTAATCATTCAACTAGTCATCATTAAGGCAGAACCATCAGCCACTTCGCAATGGGAACTATAGGAAATCACTACAGAATGACTCATCTGTATGGAGTAGAAAAAATTTATAATTCGACCATGGTCTCCTAAACATTTTCTGACACTGAAAAAAGGGCAGGCTACTGTATGATCACCCATGGCAAAGACTTCTGTGTCCTCCTTTGTCCACATAGGATGTAGGACACAGTAAGGACAAGACCTTGTTTTAGATAGATAATTTTGCTTTCCCACTATGACAGAATTCAAATACTTGGCATGTTTCAAATGTTATGGCTTGGTCTCAACATTACTTTTTTGTTGTTATTATGTATTCATTTATGAATTTACTTCTCTTTTTATATACTTAAGTAGATCCAAGAAGAGTGAACCTCAAGGACCACGCTCTGCAGAAGTCAGCACAGAACCCAATCCAATGCACATCAAAGGAAAAAAATTCTGAATGTTTTGGCCCCATCTCTAAAAGAAAGTTTTAGATCTCTGACAGATGTTAGTATTCAATTCACATTTCATGTTCAAACCTGCACTTTGAAAATTTACCTCAGCTTTGCCACAGACTTCAGTAGCCCAGATCTGGGCACTGTTGACCATATAGGGTGGACTCAAACGTGACACCATGTCTGGATTACAGAATGGTCTGCCCCATGTGCCACACACTGATAAAGTACAACATCTCCACTCGATGCTTGAGTGATCCTTTACCACAAAACCTATTACTGTGGTTGTAATTAATACAGAAGAGGAGCAGGAAACTTTCTCTGCATCCAGGAGCCATTTTTCCAATGTGCTTTCTTAAGGAATGAGGTTGATGTGATAATGCTGCTTTTTGTGTACATCCCACTGTAACTTCTGAGCCCTCTGATGAATTCTGAACAAATTTAATAAACAGAGAAATTTCCAGTAAGATGCATGTGTCCAGTGAGGAGAGGATTGCAATCTGAACTTAAATTTTATTAGACATTATAAAAACTATCTCATAAATAGCAAGTATGAATGTCCCAAGCATGAAAAATGCTTCATTTAGAACATGCACCCACAGGTCATTTAATAGCAATGTGAGACAGAAACCATCATCAATTAGCAATGCTACCCCCCTGCACTACAGATGCCTATCTGTCACTGAAAATCTTCTTATGAAGTCTACAGCATCATTTGTGGTACTGGACTTTATGTGCAGGATCGACTGTTTTAAAATGCTTATTGTAAATATTTTATATTGCTCTCAACTTGATAGCACAGTGACAGGGAATGCTAGGCATTCAGGATGCCCTGGAGGGGTGAAAATAAATGACAGCTCTCACCCTTATTCTATCCTTTGAAGGGACCCTACTTAGCCAGATAATGCTATGGGACAATTGTGTTTAAACCCCAAGAGAGTTTTTGGAGTGTCATCCACAGGAGCCTTGATGAGTGCAGAAGTAATTAGTTCCACATGAGTACACAGGCACATAACCTTAGAAAGGTCTGGCTGCTTTCATGTTAGGAGAGAAAACGCATTTCTGCCTAGCGCCAGGACGACATGCTCTGGAAAGAGGAGAAGGACCTTCTTCATTGGTTTGGTGTCCAGCTATGTGTGTGTTTCAGAGCTGAAGGATGGAATTGCTCTCACTGCCTGTGAAAATTATGGGTTTGTGTTTGCTGGATAGCTGAAAAATTCACATGAAATACTATGCAGAAGTTTCTCAGTTTCACAGGGCAGTCCTCTGAGGTTGCTGCTTAGCAGCCCAAGACTTGGCTTTCCTGCAGGTGTTCACAGTGTGCCAGACAGTTCCCAGGAGCATGCATAAAGCTCTCCTGGGAGGCTTTCCTGAAACATTTAATCTAAACACCAGTATTGCTGCACTTTTATGTATATCTTTGTGTGTTCTGGCACCTGATAAAAACTCCATTATTTTCAATGAATGTGTGTCACCTGGTGATACCTCAGCTTCCTCTGAGGAGGTGCTTTTGCAGAGTTCATCCTTAGGTTATATATGGGCTATTTTTTTTCCCAGAAACTCCAGGAAAGACATCTGAAAAACACTCATGTGCATCTCGTTTGGATTTCTTCACACTACACAAGGTACTAGCTAAAGCCCAGCTGTTCTCGGAGAACAGCAGCTGAACTCTTGTTGTGCACAGAACAGTAAAAGCACCAAACAAATGCCAAATATTGATGGAGCACCTACAGGTTCATTGTTAAAAGGACCACTACTGACTACTAAATGCCATCAGATGGTTAAGGACAGCCAGTTATGGTTTAATGGCTCCTCTTAGGATCCTGGGAAACGAACTTGTAAAAAGCATCAGAGGCCCACTACATTGCTTTGTATTTAACTAGCCACAAAGGCATTTAACTGAGCATGCCAGAGAGTGGGCTCTCTGATACAAATGGTTCTGGCTGAGCAAGACACACTTGCTGCAGTCTCTCTGACGGAGAAAATAATTCCATCCGCTTGGCTGTTTGGCCCTTGGTGGAGGTTAAACGGGTACGTTTTCTACAGTCACAGTGGGGTCCTGCAGTTTATCACAAGCTTCTAGAAGTTTTATATATCCATGGTCACTGCACACAACCACTTTAATCACTATTGCTAAGATTCAAATGTGTGGTGAAATGGCAGTGCTTTCTGGATCAGCATGATCCAGAGTGGAAGGATTCTACTTTTTTAATATTTAAATTTAGTGCCTGTTTTTAAGAAATTTACTAAGCACTGTGATGATTCTACAATATAGAGTCAAACAAGACCATTTCTTGCATACTATAAACATAAACTTACATTTAACAATAATTAAGCTGCAAATGTTGCCATGTTAATGGCATTGTGGATAGTGTGTGAGAGACGTTTTCTAAAGAAATTTTTTGGCTCTTACTTATACATATTCTGTTTGGGATGATGATGGAAGAAATACTCAATTCTGTGCTTACAGATCCATTTATGTAAGCATACCACAGAAGATAGAAGCAGTACTTCTTTCTAATGCTAATGGAACAGTCCTTGCTTTCCAGCTGGTTTTGGCAGACTATGGAAAAGGATGCTCAGTGCTGCAGATCTGATGACACTGACATGCTTCCCTACCACAGACCTTCCTACTGTGTTAAGCAGTTTAAATTAAACCTTCATCCATGGCTTCCCAAGTGCAGGGAAAGCCATCAATGTACTCACTGAATGGGCTGTCATGTGCTTTAGTGGCAGGAACCAAAGCAGCAATGTGCATAGCACAGAACAAGTTAACGTTCAATGGACTGGCCCCAGCTACCACTTTACACCAGCGCTGGCCTAACCCGCCAGTATCCATCTTTCCTGGACTTGCAGTGCTGCTTTGAGAGCACAAATCAGTCCCTATCTATTGATACACCTCTGTCAAGTTGAAAAGGCAACTGCTGTTTTTTCCCCTTCCTTTATTTTTTTCCTCAGAGTGCCTAAATCAGGCCTGACATGAAAAAGACTGTATAATCTTGGTCACACACAGTCAGTTTTATACTCTGGGTAAAGCACAAAACCATGTCCTTGCACACACTGCTCATTGAAAGTACAGCCTGAACACAGTGTCCTTTCCAATCTGGGAATTCTGGAAAGCACTGCTGGGATGGGAAGTGGTACCTGCTGAAGACCTTGCCATAGGAGACGGTGGTGAGAGCACATATTAATGCAGTGGATTCAAAAGTCCCCCCCAAAATGCTCAGATGGCTCCTATCAAGTTGACACTAGGTGAGCACGTGTATCCAGGTCCTCCATTTGGCTCAAAAGCAGAAGATACTTCTTGGTAAGTAAGTCCAGAGTGTTTGTGTAAAACAGGTGATTTGGTGCCCTCTTCTCATCACTTGTATGCTCATGAAAATCTCTAAAATATGTATGCTAATTTCTTCACCTCCCAAGCAACACATCAAAGCCATTTTGCATACACACATTTTTAGCTAAGACTACCATGTTTTTAAGTCATTAAAATGTAACTGCTCTTGTTCTCATCTAGCTATAACAGCCGAAAAACACAGGATGCTTATTTCAAACTACACTGACAGTATCAAATAATGAGCAAATAGATATTGCTGTGTATGAAAAATGCATCACTTCTGTTCAGAAAGGAATTCTAAAGAAGAGCTTAGAAACAACCTGATTCTTATTCATATTTACTGTAGCGCCTCCAAGATTATTTAAGTAATGTTTTCATTTCTTCTATTCATAATGTTTTGGAACATAGTGTGCTGCAGGCCAAAACACTGAACTTAGAACATATGTAAATGTGAATGACATTTTACCTGAGTGACAAGAGAAGTTCCTGAGACTTTGGGAGCCAGCCAGCCAGCACACTGCACTGAACTGCATATGCAGATAAGGAGTATTTTCTGTATTATTTGTGTGCAACAGGTAGTAATTCAGTGAGGAAAAAATTTTACAAAATTATCTACTTTTTTAAAGTTTCCCAGTAATTAGCCCTTTTAATCAGCTCTACTTGTCTTTTTTGTAATATCCAACACTTACAAAAGAAAAAAAAAAGAGGGAAATATAAGACATATCTAATCAAAATAATTAAAAAGCAGTATATTTTTGCTTAGATCTGGACACTTACCTATAAGCAGGATTACTAATATGTCTGTAATGTAATAACCAAGCAGCAAAGGCTTCTGCCAGACTTCCACACCAACAGCACTGGTAAGCAGATATGCTGCTATTAATACCTATAGAAGGGGTATTAATAAATAAAAATAAATAAAAGATAACGTATTGTCAGTCCTCTACTTCTAAAGGCACAGAATTTCACTTATCATCTTGATACAAATGCAAAAGCAAAAAAATTATACAGAATTATTTAAAATGTATGAAATACAGTAAGCAAGCAACTTCCCTCTAATACATGCATCTGTTGCATGTGGTAAGTATTACTAACTTACCTTTTCAAAATACCTAAGTTCTAAATCTCTTCTAAATGCCACATCTCCCCACTACACATGCACTTTCTTGTTTTTGGATAGAGATTTCAGAATTAGCAACAGGGTTATTTTTGCAGCTCAGCCCCCTGAACGATCATATCAGAATAACTGAGAGGGGGGGAAAAGTCCTAAGCTCACCTGAAAGAATTATAAAAAAATCACTTGAATGTGAAGAAATAAAAAGAAGGAGAGGGAGCTGAAGTCTTCCCTGATTTTTAATTTGTTTGACAGATAACATCATTATAGGAGACAAAAAGAAACATACAGTCAGATGTCATTAGGAGTGAAAGGACGCATACACAAGACTCACAAGCCATTTGCTGAAGTGTCACCAGTTTCAGTAGAGATGTAAATGTAGTTTCTGCTCTCTCTTCAGAGTTAATTTTGTGACCCAGATGAAGTTAGAAATCTTAATGCAGCCAAAACCCTATAGTTCCTACAGCAATACCTCTCACACGCACCTGAAGCAGCATCGCCTACAGCTCATGGCACAAACTGATGAAGTTTTACCATTTCAGATGTGTAACATGCAAATGCAGCACTGTGTGTGACGCAGTGATTCCCAAAGCCTTGTGCCCTTGACCCCAACTCCCCAAGGGACCCCGCTTTCCCTTGAAAGCCATTTCCTTGCTTATTCCAGGCCACCCATCCCCTGCAGCCCCTTCTGCTGCCAGCACCCAGCTAGCAGGACTGCTGCCCTGCTCTTTCTCTAGGCTGTTTTGTTCTTAGTCGTTCAGTTTTCCCCCAGGGCCCACAAGAGGCTGTATATTTCATGCTACACTTCAGCTCTAAATTAAAATGACAATGTTAATTATAATGCCATTTAGAAAACTGCCTATTCATCTATTTATTCCCAGCTAACATTTGGTAACCTTTATATTTTCCATTCAATACAGCCTCTTACTCTGGGATGACAAACGTTTTTCAGCTTTACTTGTATTATAGATTTTACTATGCATTATTTAGTTTTTTAAATACTCACTTTTTACTATGTTATGTGTTTTCTTCATTTTAACTTCAACAAATACATTTCCAGTCTTTTATTAAATTAAATACTTTAACTTTAGGATACACTGAAAATCTCTTTTTTAAATAACAGGCTGCTTAAGATCACAGATTAATAGCAGAACACTGCTGGCACTTAAACTCCCTATTACACGTGGATAACACTATATTTGACTTCACCTACTTCTCTATATCTAAATTCTTGTCCTATCAGTATGTAGCTCTTTAAGAGTTTTTGCCTGGATGTGACATTGCAGAACTGGATGTTTGAATTTGCCTGTGCAAGAACAAGCAGCACAACAGATCTGCGACAGAGAAGAGGAGGCGCTAGTGAGTGTTACATCTTGAGCCACTGAAGACAGTGAGTTAATTTTTGGTCTAAATGAAGGACATGTATAACGGGTTTTGCAATCCACTAAATCAGAGCTAACATTTGGCTTTCTGAAAAAATTGTATTATATTATCCATAAGACATGACGGATGGAATCATGACCCCATCAAAGTTGATGGCAAAACTCCAACTGGCTTTGATGGAGACTGAATTTACCCTTGCATGTTGAATCCTGAACAGACTATTTTGGCAAGTGATAAAAGAGGAACATCAGTATTATCCGTTATTACAGTCAGTACTTTTGGCAGGGCAGCCATGAGCATCACTGTCAGATGTCAGCACACATCCAGGAACAGGAGTGCGGATGCAGTGAGCTCTCTCAGGGAATGCCCTGCCCTGGGATTTGGTGATGCAGCACTCACAGATTGAGTCTGCCTCTTATTTAACAGATGTAGTGTATGAAACACTCTTTGGCTTCAAATTTTTGGTGTGTTGCTTTTTAAGGACTCGTCACTTTGACTTCACTGAGGCAGTCTCAAAGACCTCCTTTAGAAAGCTGGAAGAATGTGAAATTGGCTGTGTCCCTTAATCTAAGCTATATTAGCAAAAAAGTAAGACTGTCAAAATTATTGGCTAAAGCTAAGTATGTTAATCAGCTGTATAAACTGCTTTTGAAGGCACTGTTGGCAAAAAAAAATAAATAAAAATCAATGTAAAGCAGTGTCTCTAAGTGCAACTGAATAATTCTTCTTAAGATGACTAAGTTTTTTACTTATCTCTCTGCCATCAATCAACTTTAGTACTTTTCAGATATAAATGTAAGTAGCAAGTAAAAATAATTACAGTCTTTTGTAAATTGAGAAGTCCAAATTAAGTAACACAAGTGAGGACTACATAGCAACGTAGTGCCAGACATATACAATCTTGGATTTCAACTCACTGCAGCATCTGACCAGGAACATTTTTGGTTTGCCAAGGCCTTATCTATGAGGCTGAGGAGTACTTATGCTGAGAAAATTCTGGAAATACAAGGTGTTAATTTGTAGGCCCTTTGATATGGCTAGCAGCAGGACAGTTGGCTTCTGAGCAGACTCCCTACCTTGTCACAATTTTATAATACACAACAACATAGACACCTTTCCTCCTCTGTAAAATCAGAATAGTTCTTTGATGTGGCATTGGGAAAATTCTATATAATCATAAGGCATTATAACCCCTCAAAGTCTTCTAATTTCTAGTCTTTTAACTGTTCTCTAAAATATTTCATTTTTTTAAACCAGCATCTCTTACATGTCTTTCCAATACTACAAGTGAAAGTTTTGTGGCCACAATATTCTAGATTCTGTGTGTACAAACATTTTTTTTCTCCTACATGATTTACCATTTCTGTTTTACACACAGGCACACTTAGTATGCTGTGTGATATTCTACATGGTGGGAAACAAAATCAAACATTTTCTCATATTTTTAAAAAAATGTGGATATGCTTTTAAATTCTTTATGATTCCATGAAAAAATGGCATTAATTTTACTGTAATATTCAGTTTCACTAGCATATTGCTATAGCATTAATTGTTCATGTGTTGAAATATTTTCCATTAACACAGTGCTCAAACTGAACATCTTGAAAGCAAAGACATTTAAAATACAAGGTTACTTTTTCTTCTCAAAATAAATGTGACACTTGCCTAAAAGAGCACGAATGAAGTGATTTCAATAGGAGTTAGCTTTAACGCAATGTGCAATTTTTCCATTTTAATTTTTTCTCAGTCTTTTTTTTTCAATAAATAGTTGAAGGTTGAAAATTTAGCCTATAAAAAGTTTTTCTTAAAAACATCACTTTGCATTTAGACATGATAGGTAAGCAGCTAAAGGCACATGGAAGATTAATTAACCAGAAAGGTTTCCACAGAATCATAATCAAGTGGTTAAGAATGAAGCAATCAACTGCTGCAGAAAGAGCCTGTGCACAGCAGGCTCTTCTGTTTAAATTTCACATGGGTACACCATGGAGTTTCCCTCAGATAACTGAATATTGAGATTAGTTTCCAGCCACGTCTGGAAGCAGCTTGAAGCAGACACTATGGTCTGGGTAGAACTGCTTCCACACTGCGATCCATTCTGTCACTTCCACAGTTGCAGTGTGCTCCTACCTTTGGAACCAAACAATAACATTATTTCATCACAAGTAAGACTACGCTTTCCACAGACACTTCAAATTTGAAAAACTGTGAAAGTGAATATCTTTTTAACTAAAATTAAATTGTGAATCCTAGTAATGTGACCAAAGAACAAGACATTTGCGTCTTCATTTTGCTTTTTAATAGACAACTTTTTTTGCCCCTCAGAAAAGGTAGAAATTTTTTCAAGATGTGATGTGCACTTGCATTGCTTGGGATTTCTCTGCGAGTTTCTAAAACGCTGGCTGCCACAATACATCCCAAGAATAGGTCATATGAAACATATTTCAGCAGGAGTTTGTAAAAAGCTTGTCAAAAAAAACCCTGGTAGAGGGCATCCAAACAAAAAGCCTTCCCCTGCTTTGACTCAAAGGAAGAAGGAAAGGAAGTTCTACAATGTTTCAGTTGCTGTCTGCATCATGGACTTCATTTATTCAGAGTTCCAAGGCTGGCAGAGTGTTCTCCCTGAGACTAGGTGGTACTGTCCAAAGTCCTCTGGCAGAAGTAGCTGTGAAAGCATCTTAAACTGAAAACCTGGGGCTCATGGTCCAAGCACCCATCCCTTCAGGCATGACCCTATATATACAGGATTTCTGGTCATCCTCTTCTTACAGGGCAAAGGCTGGGCCAGAGAGATCTGACTGTTGCCTTTCACATTTTGCTGCTTGTGCTGCTTTTGAGCTTAGCCTCATGGCTGGGGAGAGGAAGGAGAGTGGAATTGTCTGAGTCACTCCAGCTCTCATACAGCTTTTCTTTTCGCTTTTAAACTTTTATCTAAGAATATAAAGGCCACTTCCTGTTACGCTTAAGGCAGCACCAATAGAAGCAGAAGTATCATTACATCATATTAAGGAAAAATGAGCATTTTGTTCCCCTACTATGAACTCACTGCAGTGGCTAAGGAAAAGCAACAGTGGGATTAGGGCAGTATTTCATTAGGGGAATATTAAATTTTTCAGGAGCAAAATAGATTTTTTTTTTTAAATCAGGAGGATGTCTGTGAAAATTAACATATTGCAAGAAGCCTGAAGTTTTAATTTCCCAGGGAAGTTCTGCCTTTTTTTTTGTCCAAGAAACTTAATTTGCAGATATTAACTTTTTTTAGTTGGGCTTGTGACAAAAACAAAAGTCTTTGTCTTCACAAGATGTATCCAAGAGAATTTCTCACAGATTATAGCAGAGGTTTATTTTTCAGCCTTTTCTTCAGACCATAATTCTTGGGGTTTCCAATAGGTGTGCTTACTCAAAAGTGTATGAAAATTGTCTGGAGGCTATGGTACAGAGGCTCTTCTCCCTGCATCTTTTTCTGCTCACTCAGGAGTCAGCACGAGATAGCTCCTTGTGCTGGAGAGAGGCTAGAGGGTAAGGGTTTTCCCTGCTGCAGATGCCTCCTCCTTGATTCTGGATCAAAAAATGTAACAGTCCTCTGACCAAGCATCTCTCAGACACATTACAGCCAGTTTTCAAGTTTACAAACCACAGCCTCCTGTAAATGGCTGTCTGCTGTAATCAAAGCTAATTGGAGTGCCAATTGCAGCCCAGATAGAGTAATTGGGTTACCAGTTGTGATGAGTCATCAAGTCACAGAAAAAATGTGATCTGCGTAAGTCCCACAAATTTCCTTATTCATAATGAGGTTTTTTTTCATGAGGAACAGCAGCTCTTTTTATACCACATTTAAGGCAGAGCATGTGAGTTGGCTGTCTGTGTTTATACAGAGTGGAGCTGACTCAGCAGCAGTGTCCTGGGAGCCACATGCCAGTTCAGTTTTCATTAAGGTCAACAGTCATCTATTTGCACACTTACACTAACTACTCTTATTTCTTGAGTTTTGGGGTGATAATGAAGCCCAAAGTTCCTGGCTACCATCAAATTTAAAAGCAGAAGCAGGGGACTAGACCACCTGAGTGTCTGACATGCCAATGCAATAGCACCATATTGTCAGTGAAATTAATGAAGACAGAACAGAGAGGCACATTCGTACAGCAATCTAGCTAGGAATGCCGTGGAGAAAATAGTGAACCAAGCAATGAGAATCAGTCTGAAAGCAGCCTGCAAGTGCTTCCACACTCTCTGCCTCTAAATGTGACTGTGAGAATATCTGGCAGAGAAGCAGTGGGGAAAAAAAAAAAGCAAGGGAAGCATTACCTTTCTTACTTATCATCAACCATTTGCTATTGTCCCCAGTATCTTCTCCACCAAGTAATGGAGAAGAAGAGCAACCTTTAATAGTGCACACATCATACAAAATTTGCTGAATGGGTTTACAAAACAAGCAATTTTTTAGGAGAGTTATGATCTTTTACTAGATTAGTTAGTACAGCTCGGAAAAAAATACATTATGTACTTTCTGGTGTGTGTGAAATGTAGTTTAGACCAATAGAAAAATACTACCTTGACCTACAAATTCTGTTTTGTCTTTGTTCATAGGCAATCACAACTACAAAAGCTACTTTTTACAGATGGGAAAACTGACATACATAGATTTCAATAGTACAGTCTTCCATCACTGTTGATGACTGTGCTAAATAGCATCAAAAAATTCTGATAGTTACAGGCTTCTCACTTTGACCATAGCCAAATCATCACAGACGTTACTAGAAAGCAAGTGTGCAGGACAGCAATCCAGCATCAGAGGGAAACAGGAAATAGCACTTGTTAGCACCTTGCATCTCAGTTAATCAAAGCAGTTTACAAACTACTGATATCCAGCCTCACCACAAATCTGTCAGGCAGGGAAATGTTATTAGCATTATTCCCCAGATGGAAAAGCAGTGCCAGGGGCATAGGTCACTACCAGCACTGACACAGTTACCAGTACTTCTCTGCCACCTGATACCCATTCCCATATTTAAACACTAATAGGGTTTGGATGCTGAAGCAATCCAGCAGAGCTTTCTAAACATTCACATATACAGTGATCATCTGACCAACAAGTGAAATTGGTTTGAACATAGCTGTTTCTCTCCTGCTGGAAGAACTTCACCAAGAAGCCTTATACAGACATGGCTGAAACTTGCAGACCAGCTGGCTGCCTAATGTCTTAATCCTGAGCCAACTTCTTCTCCCAGAACCTATTTTGTAGGGGATGACACAGATGCACCACAGCTGGACCACCATCTCTGAGTTGTTCTCAAACCACTAGATTCTGATTATGTTTACAGCAACACATCTGCAGCCATTAATTCAAATACTATATTTCCATTAAAACACATATTTGAGTATTTGTCAAACTTCTTTTCAATTATGTATATTTGACTGTACCTTTCATCTCATGCCTGTGACAGGAAGCTCAGAAGACTGTGACTGTGCTCTTCAGTCTGCAAGAGCTTGGCTATGTAAGAAACAAATAAGCCAGCCCAGAAATCCAGTGCTGGGCCCTTGGAAGTGCACTGAACTTGTTAGAACTGCTACTTATTCATGTACTGAGGACACCACTCACTGGGGTGGCCTGGGCATGTTTCTGAAGAGGTCCACCTCAAGGTAGGGCTGTAAGCCAGTCAAGAACTCAGCTGGAGCTGACTGTGGGCTGATGCATAATTCATGTTACTGAATGTCATTCCCTATGACTTTTTGACATCCATTATATGACTTTGACTTTTTTTCAAGGGTAGAATTACCTTTACAACAGTTAATGTTCTCTGTTTAGTTACAATGTTGTTTCCATCACCACACTTGTTGTAAAACAGGGTAGAATTGAGAAGGTCTAGCAGTGTATAACTGTGTAATTACTATTAGTAGATACTACTTGGACTACTTCACATCATGTCTCAGAACCCAGTGTTGGGGGGGGAAATTGCTTGCGGCTTCAGACAGCAAAATAATTTTTGTTAATACCACAAATCAAATGCAGTTAAACGACATTCTCATAGGCACTATCTGGCTGCTAGGCTTGCTGCAAGTCTTTTTTCTCCTGCAAGGCAATGAATCTCTGATGCTGACAATTTGCTCAAGAGCATCCCTTCACTGCAAATGCAGGAAATATTTCTGAATTACTTTTAGGGTTATGCAATTTTACATATTTCAAGGTCTCAGCCAAATATGTTTGCCTTGAGCACTATTTTTCTATTTCTTTAACATTATGAAAACAATTATACATTTAAAAAAATAAAACCAAAACAGAAATGATAAATACTTACCACTTGGCTTATATCATATCCCCAAGGAAGAAAAAGAACTCCTGTGTTATATTTCTCCCAGTGTGAACACATGAAGTTAAACAAGACAATGCTTAAATATATATACATTGTATATACAGAAACTCCAGTCTTCCCATTGTCACGGGAACAGACAGAAAAAAAGGAAAGCACAAAAATGGAGGTAGCCCAGCTATCCAGTCCATGGTCAAATAGTTCTCCCAGAGGAGTACTGGACTGAGTCCTTCGAGCGTGTTTCCCATCTATGGAGTCTAGAAGGATTGGGAAAGAAAAAGAAATGAAGATTTAGAGTACAACAAAAGGAGTAACTTTCTTCACATACACTGCACTACTGCCATATATAACGTACGAGAAAATTACACTGATGACTGAAACACAACAGCCTCCTCAATACCAGCGATTAGGATTGCTCATAAAATATTGTGTCAGTTATCAAGCATTTTTTCTGTCCTTACCTCAGCTCTGAAGCTTCAATACCACCTTTCTTATGAGCTTTAGAAAGACATTCATAATTACTTGCCCCCAGTGGTCTTGAAACACTTTAATGTCAGTCCCTGCAATCAGTTTCAAGTGCTGAAAAGTGTCCCTAGGGCTTCTCACCCATCCATTGGTGTTGGGCACTCTCTGAGCCTTCAGACCACTTGTGAGGTAGACTGGGGACATTGTTTAGTGGTGGACTTGGCAGTGCTGGGTTAATGGTTGGACTTAGCGATCTTCAAGGTCTTTTGCAAAATGTATTATTATATGAATCTAAAAATACATTATAGTTAAGGTGCATTACACGTTGATTGATCATTTTTAATACTTGAGTGCTTGAAAGATGATTCAGTACTGTACTGGATCTCACTCTGAAGATGCAGTTGAACAATATGGTTTGAGTTGATCTGATAATTCACTGCTGTTGAACAGGGAGACCTGCAGCATGTTCAGCTGGTGGAAAGAGAGTAAACATTATGTTTTCTTCTGTGTCACTAATAGATTTGGTGTTATGAATAGTACAAAACCCAAGGGAGATAGCACAAGAGAGGGGTGGTGAATGCAGGCAGGAGGAAGGGGGTCTAGTGGTTGTAACCTTTCTTAGTTTTGTTGTGAAACCATATCCTTAGCCTCTTCTCTCAGATTGTGCTGCTGAAAAATATTTTCCTCTTAAGTGTAAAGATGCAGAACGAATCTCTTAGGAAAAAGTATGCAGAACAAACCTTATGGATTACTTACTGTTGTCTTGAATCTCAAAATAAAAATAAAATGGAGAGTTTTTATCTTTTTTATGTTACTTGGAAGGTAAAGCAGTTATTAGCTGTTGATAGCATTAATAACACAGAACTGACTAGAGATATGACTCAGTAGAGACCAGAGACTCCACAGCTGCTATAGATCATATGCTACTTACTTCACCAGATTATTTGTCATTACTCTGAGTTTTGTTTAATGTAAATATACTTCAGGGACCTAAACTGGGAAAACATGGGATTTCATTTTGTACAGATTTTAGACTGTCTTGCTATTGTAATACCTAAACAGCTGTGAGATATCCTCAACTCAAATACAAATCTCTTGAGACAGTTCTCACAACTCTAAAATTAAATATCTCAAAGAGGATTTCAAATATAGCTTGCCCCTTTCTAGAGACACCTTCTTTCTCTATTAACATTACCACTGAATTTTCAACATCTTACTGAAATGTGCAGAAAGAAAACTATATATAAGCTTGAGGTTAATTGAATAGTGTTACTATAACTGTAGAAATTCTTCCATCCAGTAAAGAATATTTCTGAAATTTAACTAGCAAATAAGTATATTACCAACCCTAAACAGTTTATGGTCTTTCATACTTCAAGAATAACTATCCAAAATAAGAGAGAATTCAGTTACATGGGTAATACTTTTAAAAATGAGAACGTTAGAAGATTTTTCTGTTCATAAATTATTTTAAGTTGTCACAAAAGTGATATTAGATAGTAAAAGATGTACATCACAGAGAAAAAGTGCAAGAACTTTAGTTTTATTACAAAGAGGCTTACAATGGTGTCATAAAATAGAGTATTTCTAATTATAATGGGCATGGAAGAAAAATACAGAAACTATATGACACATAGATAAAATCAGATTTTCAAAAATCTTTAACCACGTTTTCCATGTCGTTTCATTACCTTTTTAAGAGACTGAAAATATTTTCTGTTTTAAGTTTCAGTTTAAAATTGTTCATGCCAACAGTGGTGTGTATTCAATAGTGGACATACACTGTCCCACACTTCCATTGCTTTAGAATTCTTGTATTATGATTTTGTCTCATAAAGGTTCACAAATATTCGGTTTTATTAAATTTTATATAACTTTTAAAGAGCGGAATTTAAAATAACAGCTAACAGCAGTCCATTTTATGGAAAGGGAAAGATACCAAACCACCTTAAAAAAGGGGTCGGGGGGAAGAACAGCATTTGGAGAGAGAAACTGTGTCATTAAAAAGAAGCTGAGAGAGATTACAACTGCATATTTGGTTAGTTATTATGGCTCTTTGCAGTCTTCCAAAGGGAAAACTTTGGCCATGAAGAATTAAATCTGAGACTAAATATTTCATTAAGTGGCTTGGACAGCAGACATAAAAATCTCATATACATTAGTTCATTATAGCTTTGACTGTCAACATCATATTCCTTGCCTTCCAAGTATTAGGAACTAGAGGTGTCACTGGCAAATACCATCTACATTAAGAATTTTGGAAGCTGAACTTCCAATGAGCTTTTTGGGGTGTCATACAGTAACAACTCCAATATGTAATTCCTATTTATGAAACAATAGCCATTTCATTAAATTCTATACAATTACACAAAAACAATTTTCACAAAAAAACTGCTGCTTCTGATAATTATTATAGAGAGCTAGGGAAATCCGACTGGTAGTCAGCTTCAAGGGACAGTTGTCCCATTACTTTTTATGGTACAAATACAAAGAAATTCTGGAAAAAAAAAATTTTGGCATGATCTCACCAATTTAATAGAAATGCCAAGGCATTCACAATGCAGAGGGAGATTTCTCCACAAGAGGATACCCCCAGATCAATCAAGATGGCTCTATACACACGAGTCTGATTCCAAAAGTGGTCAGCACCTTTGCACAGCACTGCAGCGTACTAATCTATAACACATACGAATGTAGCCTGAGTGTCTCAAGTATGGCACACAAATGTATGGCTACGCTCTGCAATGGCTTTACAAGAAACAGCTCCAAGGAGAGTGTACATTTAGAATCACAGAATAGAATCATTAAGGTTGGAAAAGAACTCCAGGATCATCAAGTCAACTTTTGACCAAACACTACGAGGTCAACTAAACCACAGCACTATATGCTGCATCCAGGAATTTCTTGAACACTTCCAGGGAAGGTTACTCGACCACCTCCCTGGGCAATCCATTCCAATGTTTAACAATCCTTTCAGGGAAAAATTTCTTCCTCATGTCCAACCTGAACCTCTGCTGGTGTAGCTTGAGACGATTTCCTCTTGTCCTGTCACTGGTTGCCTGGGAGAAGAGGCCGACCCCCAGCTGGCTACAAACTCCTTTCAGGTAGTTGTAGAGCCTGAGCCTCCTCTTCTCCAGACTAAACAATCCCACAGCTCCCTCAGCCACTCCTCATAGGACTTGTGCTCCAGCTCTGTTGCCCTTCTCTGGACTCACTCCAGCACCTCAATGTCTTTCTTCTAGTGAGGGGCACAGAGCTGGACACACTACTCAGAGGCGCGGCCTCACCAGTGCTGAGTGCAGGGAGAAAATCACTTCCCTGGTCTTGCTGGCCACACTATTGCTGATACAGGCCAGGATGCCATTGGCCATCTTGGCCACCTGGGCACACTGCTGGCTCATGTTCAGCCACTGTCAACCAGCACCCCAAGGTCCTTTTTCATTAAACAGCTTTCCAGCCACTTTTCCCCAGGCCTGTAGTGCTGTGTGGAGTTGTTGTGACCCAAGTCCAGGACCCAGCACTTGGCCTTGTTAAACCTCATACCATTGGCCTCGGCCCATTGATCCAGCCTGTCCAGATCCCTGTGCAGAGCCTTCTGGCCCTCCAGCAGATCAACACTCCCACCCAACTTGATGTCATCTGCAAATTGACTGAGGTTGAACTTGATCCCTTCATCCAGATTCTGGATAAAGACATTAAACAAGATTGGCCCCAATACGGATCCGTGGGGAACACCACTGGTGACTGGCTGCCAACTGGATGTAACTCCATTCACCAGCACTCTCTGGGTTCAGCCATCTGGACAGTTTTTAACCCAACGAGGAGTGCACCTGTCCAAGCTACAGGGTGCCAGCTTCTCCAGAAAAATGTTGTGGGAGCCAGTATCAAAGCCTTTACTGAATTCCAGGTAGACAACATCCTCAGTCTTTCTCTAATCCACTAGGCTGGTCATCTGGTCACAAAAAGAGATCAGCTTGGTCAAGAAGGACTTAGCCTTCCTAAAGCCATGGTGGCTGGGCCTGAGTCCCTGGTTGTCCTGTACGTGTTAAGAGATGGCACTAAGGTGATCTGCTCCATGACCTTCCCTGGCTCTGAGGATAGACTGACAGACCTGTAGTTTGCCAGATCCTCCTTCCAACACTCCTTGCAGATGGGCACCACATTGGCTCACCTCCAGTCTTCTGGGACCTTCCTGATTAAGCATGATAAATGATGGAGAGTGGCTTGGTGAGCTCATCCACTGGCTCCCTCAGCACCCTCAGGTGGACCCCATCTGAATCCATAGATTTCTGAGCATCTAAGTGGCACAGCAGCTCACTAACTACTCCCTCCTGAATTGCAGGGGTCTATTCTGCTCCCCATCCCTGTCTACCAGCTCAGGAGACTGGCTGCCCTGAGGATAACCAGTCTTTCTGTTAAAGACTGAAGCACCAAGTACCTCAGCCTTTTCGTCACCCCTGGTTACAGTACTTCCCTTCACATCCAATGAAGGATGGAGATTTTCCTTGGCCCTCTTTTTATTATTAAAGTATTTATAAAAACATTTTGTATTATCTCTAACAGCCGTGGCCACACTGAGTTCTAGCTGAGCTTTTGTCTTTCAAATCTCTCTAAATGACCTAATGACATCCTTGTACTCTTCCTGAGTTGCCTGCCCCTTCTTCCCAAGGTCATAAACTCTATTTTTTTCCCCTGAGTTCCAGAAAAAGCTCCCTATTCAGCCAAACCAGTCTTCTTACCCGACAGCTCATCTTTCAGCACACAGGGATGGTCTGCTGCTGTATCTTTAAGATTTCCTTCTTAAGGTATGCCCAGCCTTCCTGGACCCCTTCTACACAGCACTGTGCAGTCCACGTAAATATACTACCTTGGGGCCCCTCAAAAATTAACTCTGTTGCACCACATTGTGGAAAGACTAGTTCGGAATGAGATAGGTTTGGAAGAGAAAGCAAAAACACCATGCTATTGTGGATCTTACTCCTAGATCTGCATCAGTTCAGGTTTATGTCTTCACATCACTGCACAGCAAGGTGCAATATACCTAAAAATACAGTCATGGCATGGTACAAAATAGTAAAAATGGAATATGAAATTGAGGCGTAGGTGTTGCAGGAGAAAAACAGCAAGAGGAAAGAAAAAAATCATACTTCATCTCCATAAGAAGCTCAGCCCTGTCATCACATATATCATCACCATTTCTCCTGACATACGCCATAAGCACTGAAGTACCTAACAGTTTCCTTTTTCTCTGCTTTGCCCTTTTTTTTCATTTGTCCTTGAAAGTACCCTCTGGTAATGCTGGCATCGAGGAGTTTCTCAGAATGTCAACATCAAGGAACAAAGATTTTTATGAAATCAAAGAGCAATGACTCCTATGAAGACAGGTTGAGAGACTTGGGGCTGTACAGCCTTGGGAAGAGAAAGTTTCCAGGGAGACCTCAGAGCTGCCTTCCAGTACCTAAAGGGGGTCCTACAAGAGAGCTGGAGTGGGATTTTTTTACATGGGTATGGATGACAGGACAAAGGCCAATGGGTTCAAACAGAAAGAGGGTAGGTTTAGATTAAATGTTATGAAGAAATTCTTTATGGTGAAGGTGGTTAGACACTGGATCAGATTGCCCAGAGCAGTTGTGGATGTCCCGTGCCTGGAAGTGTTCACAGCCAGGTTGGATGGGGCTTTGAGCAACCTGGTCTAGTGGAAGGTGTCCCTGCCCATGGCAGAGGGAAAGAAAGTAGATGGTCCTTAAGGTCCCTTCCAATCCCAACCATTCTATGCTTCTTTGAGTGCTGCTACATAATGATTTCCACCGTTCCTCTAAAATAATTTGAACTTTACAGAGGGGTAAGAGCCTCATCATCGACCTCTAATATATAACTTCATACGCTGTTTGGGGTTTTCTTCAGTCTTATAAATTTTGTGTTTTGTGTGCGTGTGTGTGTTTGGTTGTTTGGTTGTTGTTTTTTTTTAATCTAAGAGAACTGTTTTGGAAAGAGATCAGTAATTTATCCACAATGCCTCTTCATCTCAGAATCCACACTAGTGAATTTGAAGATAAAACTATACAAAGACATAAGATGTGTAAATTATTTCACTGTACTTTACCTAAAGCATAAGCACAAAAGGTGGTAAAAGCACTGAAGAGCCACACCCAGGTGGGAACAAGTCCAGGACTGCTACCTGAAAGAAACGGGGTAGCAAGTCAGTGTAAGAGTGGTTAACATCAAAGAAATCCACCAACATATGCATATGTATAAAAACAAGCTGCCACTGACTAACCCACTGCATCAAACAGATTGAAATACTTGGTTTTGACCTTCAGGCATCAGTGAGCTCTACTGAAGACATACTGAGCAGGCTTAAATGTGTTTACACTGTAGAGGACAGAAGATAAGGTTTTTTGGTCCTTAAATTACTCTATTATTGCACAAAACAATGACAGTAACGAGATAAAAATTTTCATAGGTCACAGGAAGACTATCCGTCAACAAATTAGTTAATGTTTATGTAATATCTAGAAGCAAAAAAAAGGTAGTTTGTAAGCATGATTATTAGTGCCGACCTGGGGTTTATGTAGTACTTTTACCATACAGATCTGAACAGGAAGCTTTTGTCCTCAGGTTAGGACAAATATTAGCACCCTTTTTTTTCCCTTGAGAAAAAGGAAAAGAAAGTTGAATTGGACAGAGCCCAGGGTTCTGTTCTTGCTCTGCTGATAGCATTAACCCAAGCTATTGTTGCTCTTTTAAAGAAATCAATCCTTTTTCCAAAGACTGTTCTATTTAACTTAAACATCATCCTGTAAGTACTACACTAGCACTGAACAACTGTAGATGCCTCTCAGATTTCTGGCATTTGGCACCTAACACAGGGAATTCGTGCATACAGAGGTGTGTCCCTCCCTGAATGATGCCAGGAGTTGCCAGCACCTAAAGCAGTGCCCTGACTACCTTTCTCAATGCTTCATTTTGCCATTCTGAAAGAAAAGATGGCAATTCCTGGCTCCTAGCTGCAAATCTGCAAACTGTAGAATGAAAACCAGCTGTCCAGGAAATTAAGTCTTTTATTTCTGATCCTAGGTATGGGATTGATATATGATACTCAAAAGGCTTGTTAGGTTGCATGAATGTTTTCAATCAATTGAGAAATGATGGGCACTGTTCTCATGTGAAATCGAGAAGAGGCTTGCAAATTACACATATAGGCCTCAACTCCAACAGACTTAATCACCATTTCAAATATCTTCAAGTTCCATGTATATCTACTGGGAATTTGTCAAGATAACATCATCCCATTAAAAAGATTTGTTCTGGATGCTCTTTTATTACAGAACTTAATATTAGCTGCATTGATTAAAAAAACCCAAGTGTTTAAGAATGAGGCCACACAATATATAACAAGCTGGCCCTGAAAACGTAATGCTCATACAGGATTACTTTTGAAATAAAACTGCTAACAAGTATCCCTGCCTCTAGAATTATTACTATAAATATACAAACAGCCCACACCAAAGGGTATCTCTTGAATCTAAACACGGGCATAAAAAAAATTAAAGACAGCAAAAGGTAGTTGTGTCAGGAAATAAAACTGTTGCCTTCACTAAATTGCCTAATTTAAAGAAAACTAAAGCTTTTTATATATTTATACATGTATATATGTTTTACATATTAAACACCTTACAGAAGATGCTTACTACTTTTTGTAGGCTCCAACAGCTGGTCTGAGAAGCCCAGAACTAAACATGCCCTACACTCAGGAGTAATCAGCTCCAAAAAGCTTCTGACTTGGTCTACCAAGAAGAGCAAATACGGACTCAAATTCAGAGAGTCGCAATTTGAAGCAACATTTATTTAGAAACTATGTCTTCTTTGTCTAGAAGCAGTTTTGAATGGGGGGCATGTGTATAGTAACGAAAGAGAAATAACTTGTTCAGGCATCAATTTAGGTATTAGGAAATGTGAAACCAATGAAAACTTTATGAAGAACATTCGGGTGGTTTTTGTCTGTGCATTTAAATCCTGGAATAAACTTTAAATAAAATGAGATATTATCATAGGCTGCAAGCAGCATATGCTGAAACCCATTTTAGGGATAAAATTAAATAATATTTTTCAATAAAATGTTCTTAATTTTTAAGGCCATATGTGGGTCAGATCCTCCTATTGTGCTCATGGAGTGTCATGAAGGGAACGAGTGGAAGATTCAAGTGTCTGATCCCTCCCTTGTACTCAGAAGTACAAGCAGCTCACTAATTCTAAAAAATTACAACATGAGGATTTTTACCTGAAGCAGTGTAGTCCCAGTCATAAAAAGATATTAGAAAATAATTAAATAATATCATGACAAATCCAGAGAATGTTAACAGGTTGGGAGCAATCCACAAAGGCACTATCTGTTAAAAAAGAAAGAAAAAAATTTCAGAAAAATTGCACATCCTATTTTAATTAAATATTTTATATCAGGAAAGAAGCCTTTATATGGCATCAGCAATGTTCAGATTTGTGCATATTTCACCATTTTCAAATTAAAACACCATTTTCATTTCTGAAATTTATTTTCAAATGCAATCCTTTTGCCTGATCTTTGTGACTGCAGTAAGAATGACATTTGAAAACGTTGTATTCCCTATGTTGTACGTTATCCTTATTTATCCAATCATCAAGGAAAACTTCCTGCAATCATCTGTATCAGAACTGAAAGAAGACTGCAGCACCCCAGTGTGGTAATTCAGCATCCACGTGGTGGGGTTTTTTAAGCATTCTATTCCCATACTATAAAAAGGAAATTTCCTCTTCTAACATATGCCAATAGTTTCTAACTCAAAACATCAACAAAATCAGACCCCGAGTGCGTTACACTTTTAGATTCAGAAGATCTCTCCATTACAAGCAGCTCCCTACTTCTCTAGACAGTAATGTACTGCTAGGGTCTCCTTCTTTACTTATGAATTATAAACACTCCATTAATTGATTTTACTTTGTAGGGTGCTGAAAAGGATTCTGTCTTCACCTAAACCTCTAATTCTTTGTCCCAGTAACCACTCTCAACTATTCGCACCCTGCAGCTTTAAGGTGCTCCTTGCACTGCAACAGGGATCCCTTTTGGTAACACTCTTTCCAAGTAACACAGTTTCTCCAGCATATTTTTTTGAAATAGCACACACGGCTTTCTACATGATTTTTAGACAGAACATACTTGCAGAAATACTAAGTATCAAATAGCATCACTCAAACACACTATCAATACATTTAAAATACAAAAATATTGGAGGCTTATAATCAAATTCTTTGGAGTGCCTAAGGACTGAAAATATATCTAAAGTATTTTAACAGTATAAAATATTACAAGACAATACTAAAGAAAAGGAAGTCAAATAATTTCAGATACTAATAATAGTTCTGAAATAAAATGATTTGTTAGTTTCTCTGGACTAGCTAGATGGACAGACAGATGAATACATATGAATTTGTATACACCTTTATATTTCCTCTATCCTATTACTACATGAAAAATCTACTTTTAAAATTTGAATGCTTGAATGATTAATTATTCTGACTAGATCCTCTTTTCCTACTGTAGAACAATTTATAATATTCAGGAGGAATTGTGCAACTGATAGTGTACAGTCTAAAGTGTAAACTTTCAAAAAATCAGATTTAAATTCCTGAATACTTTTCTGTTATATTTTTTAGATGTTTTCTGTAATAGCATTAGTAGTAACTATCATATCTGAAAGTTTCTTTCTTTATCACCAGGATTTTATCACTAATTTTAAAACATTGTTTGTCAGCTCTCATAGTATTTAAAACATATCACAGAATACCCACAGCTACACTAAAAAAAAATTTAACATATCTATAATTCTGAGTGTTCAAAAGCCCAAATCTAAATCTCTAAGAAAAGGGACAGCAAATATCCCCTGAAGTTCCTTTTGGAGAACACCTAGGGTAGAACCCTTCACTGCACAGTCCCCTTTTCTTATATTGACTGCACGCTCAGCATGCAGCAACAGCAGCACATTCTCCCCATTTTGCTACCTGAGGATGCAGAAAATGAATCTCCTGCTGGGGAATTTATCTGATGTCTGTGACCATAATTATATGAAACATGAACGACAAACACTAAAAAATTCTAGATTTGTCTCTTTTAGTCTGAACTGTGGACCAAAATAATGTGTTAAGACACCATGGATGAACCGTTTACGTGGATATACAGATGCCATCCAACGTGTTGTTTTAAAATGACTGACTTCTCCTGCACGATTCGTAAGAATTGTTGACTATTAAATCAAGTGGGGCACCACAATCATCTGCTTTCTAATTAGGTTCATTATTCTAAACAGTCACAATGTCATTATTAAATTATTACAGAAAATAATTTATGCTTATACAGTGCAAACACGAAGAAGTTATTTTAACCCACTTTCTTGCTAACAGCATGTGTATTCTAAGAAGAAAACCTTCAAAGGATGTTGTTATACTTGCAATCCCTTTGGCTAATAGACACGCTGTGAAAAACAGTTACAGGAGTTCTGTCCTCAGGAAAACAGACTTTCCTGCAGTTAAACCCCTAAGCATGTTCTTTTGATCCTTACCGAACCTAATCTGTCTAGGTATTTGGAAAGTATTCCAATTGCAAAATCCCTTTTGTTACATTTAATGCCCCTTATCCTTTCGGTTGGCATTACACTACCATCACCTTATTTCATAATTTAAAAAATCATAGAGTGTTCAAGATTAACTTCCTACACACCTTGGAGAAATAGAGTCTGAATTTATGGAAGGATACATTGCAAACTTTATTATCTAATTAACAGACAGTAGAATTCTCATATACCAATATGTTACATGATTAATACAATTGAAGGTACCAGGGGGAGAATCACATCTGTTCTCTGGCAAAACTTTTGTATGCTTAAACCTTTTAAAAAACTTTTAGTTCCACAAAACACTAAATGATTTCTGTTCCACCAGGTCTACAGCCACTCATTTGAAAAGCCTTAATACAAACAGCAAATCCTTTAATATATCAGTTATATGGATTATAAATGGTAAAAAGTACATTTATATAAAGTTGTGTTCAAACTTCACTAAGTCACTTGAGACCACTAAAATTCTGCTCTTGCCCAATTCTAGTGATAAAATCAAAGTTCATAAAGGCAACAGAGGGGAGTTAAATTGATTTCAGTGAAGCTGGCATACACCTATGTATCCCACTGGGATTTCCTCCTTTTCCTCTCATTGTCCTGAACAGATGTGATTTCTTATGAACACAAATACAGGAGGAATATTCAGTTTGCATAATAGCTAAATAATATTACTCATTATTTATCAGAGAGCACAAGATTGTGCTTCATTATAAAATACAAATCCCAATTAAAGGCAAATGGATGGAGCATTGAAGTAAATGAAGATGAAATACCTATAGTTGCATAATCAGCATAGTTTTAAATAACACATAGAGTCATATCCTAGTGTCATATCCTGGCTTGTATCAGCAGTAGTGTAGCCAGCAGAACCAGACCAGCGGTCTGTACTCGGCACTGGTGAGGCTGCACCTTGAATCCTGTGTTCAGTTCTGTGGTCCTCAGTACAAGAAGTACATTGAGGTGCTGGAGCCTGTCCAGAGAAGGGCAGTGGAGTTGGTGAAGAGTTTGGAGCATAAGTCCTATGGGGAGCAGCTGAGTGGGCTGGGGTTGTTCAGTCTGGAGAAAAGGCAGCTCAAAGGGGAACATTATCACTCTCTACAACTGCCTGAAAGGAGGTTGTAGCGGGGGGGGGGGGGGGGGGGGGGGGGGGGGGGGGGGGGGGGGGGGGGGGGGGGGGGGGGGGTTGAACTCTTCTCCCAAGTAACAAGCATAGGACATGACGAAACAGCCTCAAGTCACACGAGGGGAGGTTACATTGGACATTAGGAAAAATTTCTTCACTGAAAAGGTTGTTGAGCATGGGAACAGGATGACCAGGGAAGTGGTGAAGTCACCATCCCTGAAGATATTTAAAATATATGCAGATGTGGCACTTGGGGACATGGTTTAGTGGTGGAATTGGCAGTGTTGGGTTAATAGTTGGACTCAATGATCTTAAAGGTAATTTTCAACCTAAATGATTCTATGGTTCTATGATTCGTATAGTTGTTACTATAGTTTCATACAACATGGAAAAACTGCCATGAACAGGAGTTTATTTTCTACATCACAGGATATTATAGTCTAGGGCACACTCATATTGTAAGCTATAACGCTTACAATAGGTACAAGCTACCAAAAAAAAAATTTTTTTTCAAAACTTCTCCTAAAACTAAGATATAATTTATTAAGATATCACTGGTGTACTTGCACTTGAAGAGAAAATAGTATTTTGGCAATCAGACGAGCAGAATTTTCTTGAACTGAGTTTGAAATACCAGTTACTGCTACATCTGGTTTCAGTATCTAACCAGGAATAAAACCATTATAGCAACAATTTTGGTGCTCTCCCAGTTCTCATTTTTATCTCTAAGAGCAATCTCCATTACATACTCTTTCCCTCTGCTGCTGTGCATTGCCAGCTTCTCTGCAGGACTCTGATTCTACATGGCAGTATCTTCTAACATTAGAATGACTACTTCTACAAAAGCTGAAAGCAATATAGTTTCCCTTTAAATCCTTGCAACACATCACTGAGAATTATTCTGTAACACTCTTGCACTAGAAGGTAAGGTAGAACATTGTATGTATCTTTAGTATTCAAACCAAATGGCAAAGTACAGAGAGCACCCACCCCAGTCTTTGGTTCCATACTCAGCTCTCCCAACTTTTGAAACAGGTTTTCAGTCCTTCGCTCTGGTTTGGGTTCTTCTTCAGAGAGAAGAGAACTAAATCATGCTCACCTAAAACTCAGTGAGGTTTAAAAAAATCTAGAGGTCACATTTTTTATGGGTTCTATCACCTTATACTACATGGGGACATTCAAGAATGCTGCTTTTCCTCTGGTAAAATGCTGCAACCGTTAGAAGAACTTATCTCCAAAGGAAGTTTTGCATTGCAATACACCTTCAATCTGAGAGCAGATGAATAGCCATGGATTTCCTAAACCAAACTGCAAGTGCACAGTTAAGCCTCTGCTCATCTCCTGTGCCAGACTGCAGAGTGCTGGAGGGGCTTTTCTGCCTCACTGTTTTCCTCAATACTATGATGGGAATGAAAACAGAGTCTCTGAACTGAATTACTGAATTCAGTGTCACATCTTTGAATTGCTTTTTACTCGTACTTGTTTGGGTTGCTTTTTAATTCTTAAGTTAGGACATACAAACACTTTTCATTAAATTATCTTGAGATTATGAATGAGAGACTATGATTTTCCTGTTGTATTAAGAATAAGAAACACCTTTATTACAGAACCCAGAGATGGCAGATCCAACAGCACTCTGACCACATACATCCATTTTTGTTAGTACAAAGCTTTTATTTTCAAGTCTGCTCCAATCTAAATATTTCCTGTAACAAGGCAGATGCCAAAATCATTGCTTTCTTGGAGATCAATAAAGTTCATATTTATTTGAGATACAGAGTTGTTTGGTTTTTTTGGCCAACAATAGCACAACTAATTGTGAGCAGTTTATTTTTAAAAACTGCAGATCATAATGCATTCTAGAGATAGCATCTTCCAATCGTTATGGTTATCATGGTAACTGCTCTCATTTTCAGCTTCTTAAAGAAATGCCTTGCTCCCTCGAGCAAGTACCCTTGGGAGAAAATGAGACAGCACTTGCATAAAATTATATGCACGGTACAGAGATAAAGCCATGCTGTTGTTAGGCGGCATATGCTGCACAAAAATAATTTGTAGTAAATAAACCCCTTCATGTCTGCAAAGCTGCTTAATGAAAGTTGTAATAATGAAAGATGTAAAAAAGAAATGGATGCCTTTTCTATAGCAATCAGAAAAAAATAAGTAAACCTTTTTTTTCTAAAAAAAAAAAAAATCTCAAAATAACATACTCATATAAACAGGTATATATCTTGCAACATTTGTTTTCTTTTATCAGATGCCCTAATTTCAGCTTTATTAATCAATATTTTTAAATGAAAATATGTGATGTATTTAAAACAAATTCTTATATTAACATGTGAAGTTTTTATTAAATAAAATTCTTACCTTAATAATTTTGTTCCAGATGGGCTGCATAATATACACAGATAAAGGATTTGTATCCACAGCACTGTACTGTGAGGAAAAAGCAAACATGTTAACAGCACTGAACAATGCTTATTTTTTCAGCACTGTATATCCTTCAGCATCTAAGAGCAATCACTCTGAGTGTGACTGGTGTAAATTTATTTTGTTCTGATGACCATTCATCCGGGTTTAATTTAATTTAAAAGCACTGGTCTGGTTTACACTTACCCTATTAGTAACCCCATGTACTAACACAAAGGTTTAGGCTTGTGAGCTGGCAAACAGCTCTGCAGCCACATTTTACTTCTAAATTCTTATTAATTTTACAAGTTATCCTATAAGAGTCTGCATTTCTACCATATTTTGGATTTAATTTATTTGCACTACCACTCATACACAGTCTGAGCAGTGGTTCCTTGCTAGTATTAGGATAGATAGTGCATATGGAATATGTTCATAAGTGGAATATTATCTTGCAGAGATACAAAGCTTTTGTCATAGTAACACAGTTGCATTTGCACTATGCTAATTCGTGTAAGGCAATGTTATTATAAAAATAAGCCTAAAATAGCACAGTCCATTACCACAATAAAATTTTCCCATTGCACAGACTTGTAAGTATATTTTATGTGCTTTATAAATTCCAACATCTGTACCTTTTGCAAACAAAATATTTCAGAAATCCAACTCCACTCCAAATTGCTGGTGTCTGCTTTTTCCTCAGAAGGCAGTATCAAGTTTTATCCTGCCTTGAGACTGCAGAACACAGAATCAGAACAACCAATCAGAAGAATGATCTTAACTGACAATGCCACTAGCAATTATGTTCTTGAGCCCTGGCAGGTCCGCAGCAGAAGAAGTTATCCATCACTGGGGTGAAACACATAATTATTTCAGAAATTCTAGGACTTTGAAAGTGCATATGTTGCTTAACATTGTTAGCATGATGCATATGACTCACATAAATCTTCAGATATATCTATATATACCATTGTCCAAACATCATGTGCAGACAATGGGAACAAAATAGGGATGTGTTAGACCACAGGTTGACAAAGCTGTTCACATGCAGAAGAGCTGAGGACAAAGAGTCTGTCGTTTCACATAACTCCAGCTAACAGTTAACTGTTCTCTCTATATATAGTTAATTTATTGACCTCTCTTAGCCAACTACTCTTTGGATAAGATTGCACTCTGGAAGTACCTGTTTCAAGTCATTAATTATCAAAGCAGCCTAGACATTGTCTTAAACTTAAGACACCTTTTAGGTGACTGAAGTCTAGCAAGATTCATTTCAGTTTCAGTATCCCTATCTCCAAGCTTTTCCATACACACCTAACTTGCACACATGGGAGCTAAGAGCTTCCAGTGGACAAGTGCAAGTGGGACAAAAGATTCATGCCGCATGCCTCAGGTTTTGCACGCACAGTCTATGACTTTGCATCTCATCTTTCTGAGGGTATCAGCCTATGGAATGCTTAGGAACTCTTCCATACATTTCCTTTTTCTATGCATACAAAGGATATGTTTTAATTACCTTCTGGAGAAAACAAAGTATTCAGATAATTATTTTGTGATTTGTGGTTAAGTTTAAATCATGATCATAAATATAGCATTCTTGTAAATTTATTATAACACATGTTATAATAAATTGTTACATATGTTGTAAATACATATTGGCAAATATCCAAGAAATCACCTAGCAGCAACTGGTCAGACCAGGCTGCCTAAATTTCCAAAGGGAATAAAATGTACAGTTTAATGAAATGCACATCACTGAGATTTTTTTCTAAAAATACTGAAATTGTTCACTTTAGCATATCATTTTTCTCTTCTTCTGTGACCCATATTACTTAAATCACGATACAATTCTGTCATCAACAGGTTTTCTGCCAGAATATATATTAGAATTCTTAAATACATTATCACAGAAAAAAAAAGAATTTCTAGATAAAACTTAAGTTTTCACTATTCTATATGTATTTGCAGCTCCAGATGCTGTATCTGTCTTTCAAACATTATTACAACTGATTGATCTTTTGATAGTCCAGCTTGCATGTGAATTCACCCAAGTCTGTGTGCTTTGCTTATATTTATGCCAAAACTAACAATAATACCAAGCCATACAATATCTATGCCAATAGACCTGCCAGCTAGCACTTAATTCACATGAGAACTATGGAAATCCTCTAAAAATGAAGAAGATTCAAAGTATTCATTAGCACTTTTGAGGTTTCAGGTAATTAGGAATCTGCCCAAAGTTTCGCTGTAGCTCTTGCCCACTTCCTTACCCCAGCTGATATTCAAAAACTATGCAAGGTACGTGACAATTTGCTGACCAGCAAACTCAATATATTCAGCCATACCTGGGTAAGAATGTGGAAAGGTCAAAACACGTGACCTTTACTCCTGCTCCTGCTTTGGTTTTCTCCTTCTCCCCTCCACCCCAAGCCTTCAAAGTCATGAATAAAAATCACAAAATGTTAGTTAAACAGAAACAGTAAAATGAAAGTTTCTGCCTAAAGTATTCACTAACTATCCAGAAGTATTGCTTTCTCCCAGGAGAAAAAAAAAAAAGGAAAATCAATCTCATTTATATTTTCTATATACAAAAATTTTAAAGAAGAGACTAATAGGTATTACATAGTTTTTGTATTTTCTTAAATGGAAAATAAATGAGGTTATGTAGCTTCCCAACATATCTGTGCATAATAGACACAAACATAAGACACAGTCAGCTTTTTGTTTGCCTAATGGTTTCCAAAGTCAAGCACCAAAAATCAAACCAGTCCTTATTAGAAAAAAAAAAACAAAACAAAACACCAAACTAGAATACAGCCAGCTTTTGTCACCTAAAGACATTTCAAGACCCACCACACTTCATCCTGTTCCTTCCTACGTCTGTGGTTGAACTGTAGTCCTCTGGGTGGGGAAAGAACATTCAGCAGATGTGCAGAAGAATGGAAATTTGCTCTCCCCTCATCAGTAATCTGTTTTAGCCAGAACAAAGGGGAACATCCATGAAAGAAGCATTCTGCTGCTTTTCTGTCATGGCAAAAAATAAAACTTGACAAAGAGAATCTGCTATATAGTTTAATACCCTGCTTTGTTCTGCTCCCAAGAAGCTACTAACCTCAAGGCCACGAAATCCTCAGGAGTTTAATGTTCATGGCTGCTCAGAAAAGCAAAGTACTGAGTAACATGCTCACGTTACAATCAGTGAACATGAATGCAAGAGTGCACTGAACCTTACATAAAAACAGTACTGCCATTTGCTATTGTGTAATTCTGTCCTTTTCGGGGCACTTTTAGTAAAAGGCAGAAGTGGAAGAGGATAAGCCTGTTGGAGGTTTTTAAGTGCAAGACTGATACAAGTACTAAGCATTTCCCTGCAAACACTTTCTGCCCTAGAAAAGGGAACTTGATTGTCCTTATTCAAAGAAGAAGGGCTTGGAATAATCAGAAAGTTTCTGTCAATTACATTTGAAAGAAACTGTAATAGTTGGGAGGGAACAGCAGTAGTGAGGAAATAGGAAAAATGGCATTAATTGACTCCATCTTACTCCCAAGTTTAAAAATTCTTCTTTTTTTTTTTTTTTGTTTTGTTTGTTTTGGGTTTTTTTCTTAATAGCTAAAACCTCCTTGAAAGCCATCTGCTTTCCCTCATGGTGTTAATAATGGCTTCTAGCAGAGTTGGAAATGAGAATACAGACACCAGACATGTGCACACATAGATGTTGACTCGAGCAGCACACGTGAGATGTGCTTTTACTCTGTGTTCCTACATTTTAATCTCCATCCAGGGGATCCAATACAGTATCAAGTTTGTACTGGTCAGCTCTGTCAGAGGAGAGAGGAAATATGAGAATAAGAGGGAAAAAAAAGGAGTAAACAGTTAAGAAAAGTAAGAGTAAGGAAAGAAAAGTAATTGAGAAAAACAAGAGAAAGAAAAATGAGCCAAAGCAAAGGTTTGGCTACACAGAAGAAAGATAACAATTCTAAAGCAGCAGAGCAGTGCCAAACACCTGAGGGCAAAAGCACTGGCAGTGACCAAGGTCTGCACTGCTGAATATAAATGGTACCTTCTGACTCACATCCATACAGCTTAGAAATACCTCCCCTTATTTCAAGCTGGTCACATCCACATCGCACAGCATGTGCTGGAGGGGTGTTCGACCTCCTCATCTGGCCCTGCACACCTAACACATTATTAGGACTGAATACACTTTAGTTCAAAGTATCTGAAGCAATCTGGAGACTACACTGAAACCCAGCAATATGGCATGTTCAGAGCATGGAAGTGAGCACTGCGTGTTGCACATGTTCACAAATCCAAACGCCCATGCTGGAACAGTGCTGAAGGACGGTGAAAGCCAAAAGTGGTGTGCACTGCCTCCAGAATGGACTATTCCCAAAACAAAGCCTAGTTATTGTCTTGGGGAGACTTTGGAGAAAAAAACAAAGCAGAAGAATGGGTAGCGAGCTAACCATTAATCAGAGCAGACAGCTGGATCTTCATTGGACTCCCCAGCCTTGCATCGTGGATATATCCCAAGAAAAAAATTTTGGAATTACTACAAGTAAGAGAAAAATATAAAGCATGTCTACACAAACTTCAGAGTCAGGAGAGAAAGCAAGCCCCAAGAAATGTAGTTGCATAACTGCTAGGAGATACTTACTTCAACTTAAATTGCTTCTTATGCTATTCCTTTCCTGTACTTAAATTATCTTTTCCCAGGTAGCACCATATTGTGTCACATAGTCATATACATTCAGAGATACAAACTGTTGTGAATTGTTTATATTTGAACTGTTGGCATCAAAATGACTCTGTAGGTTTTAGTTTTGTATTAGTAGCAACAAATTCGCTACACTTCATGTTCCTGCCCAGAAAATAGCGAATTTTAATTTTTCATTGACTTCGTGAATCACATGATTTATTATCTCTGTTGTAAATGCTGGGAGACTGATGCACATGTGGGCTGTAATTCACCCTATGGCTGGAGAATAGAGCAAAGAATAGACCCCCAATAGTGTTAGTGGTGTCATATTTATATACATAATTTCAGTATAAGCAATACCAATTTATTCATACAAAGTCTGCTCATATTAACTCAATTTTATATTTGTGTTGACTTCTACAAAAGCTTTTAAAAATGTAAAGGCTGAAAAGCTTCTTTCTCAGACAAATTACTGCTTAAAACAGCTATATATCAGACAGTAATAATGGTTTAGGTTGCAGTATATTGAAATACATGGTTCTGTGATCGCTTGAGTATTTCATGTGAAGTTAGATGTCTATTATGGAAGAATACCTTAGCTGTCCTGTTCCATGTTCCCACATGGAAAACCTGACAACCATCTAATGACAACATAAGGACTTGAATGGAGAACACAAATATTAGAAAACCTGTCCTTTTCCTGCAAGCAAACTCAGCTGGGGCAGGCACATGTATGGAAGAGCCACAGTTGTACCCATGTGCTGATGTTCTAACAACTCAGTGGTCCTGCAGGCCTGGGGAATCTCCTCTTATATCAAGCAGAGAATCAATACATCAAAAGGAAAAGAGGTAAAATTGTGGTCTTTAAACAAGTGATATGTTGAAAATAACTCCTCTTCAGAGTGTTTTCCAAAATATGTGCATGATGGTGTATTTCAACAATGCCACCTGGACATCTAATGATCACTTCTCCAACATACGTAAGTGATGAGCTTGTCATCATCTGGCCTATAAGCAGAGATCTGCATCACTGATGGAAAATTTTGAGGGATCTGATGATGGAAAAGGTTTGAAAAATTGACTTCCACAGCATATATTTGAAATAAAATTAAAAAGTATTTCAGCAAGTGCTGAGGTTTTACTGTCTACCATGCATGGCTCAGCTATCCCTCCTAGGGCCAGCACAGCACAGATGGTCCCTTCCTTTGGTGCCCATGGGCAGAGGCTTCCGGTGCTGAAGGCAGTGACTGGGTCCCAGCCCTGGGAGCTTTTGGCTCTGATTATGGGACAGGACAGGCTGCCAGGCCAGCCTTGCCCTGCTGCCTTGGGGCTCCCACTGCCCCCAGCCATCATGGCATCGACAGCTACCAACACCTTCCTGTGGCTTCTTTTATCACATCTCCTCTCCGATTACACAATTTCACAACACCTGTGTTTTCTAAACGACAGACAAGGGAATAGGAGGCATGACAATGGATTCTCTTCTGCACAAGATAAGTTTTTTGTGGTTTTGAAAGTTGCAAAATGACCCTCCCAATCCAAGGAATGAACCAGTCACTACTTAAGAGAGCTTGGTGGGAAATCACTCTTCTGGGTAACTTCTTATGCAACATGAACTTGCATTCTGTGTTATCTTACACTTCTGGAATCATAAAAAAATTAAAGAAAATACTGAAATACTGGCACATCTGGTAACAATTTTCCATCCATCTTTCATATTCCTAGAATACATTAAACACATGGAGTTTAATTCTACTTTACATATGTTTTTACAGGTTTGTAGATGTAATAAGACACAGTTTTGAGTTTTAAAAAAAGCCTCACAAAGGGAAAGAAGAGAATCATGGTATAAACAAAAGAGCTATACAACACTGTGGATGCCAAATGAATTCAAAATGTTCAGCAGTTTAAAAGTGCTGATATATTCCAAAACACAATCCTGTTATTTCTAATAATAAAATTGCTCCACATTATATCATCATTTAGTTAATTATTCATAAATAATGGCTTGGATTTTGTATCTCCTACTGCTTAAATAGTTTAGACTACCCTGCCTTTCCTCCCATCCATATGTTTGTTTGTTTTATTAGGTCACCAATACCTAAGTCCAGGAGTTATAAACCCCTAAGACATCTAGGGTTGAAGCATATAACACACAAGTAGAAACTAAAGAACAGGATTTGTAATTTATCCTGGCAAAGAGTAGGTGGTGGAGGGCATGTAATTGCATACTCAGATGCAAACACTTGTCTCTTTGGGCTCTGAGTTTGTGGACTTTGTTACCTGATGGTTGTGCTGTGTGTACTAGGGCTGGATGTAGCTGCACTGTGAAGGAAGAGGCTGCCCAAGGTGGCCTCCTAAGCAGTTCCCTCCCCCCTGACTTTGCTCCCTTCAATTCCATTAGCCTATGCATACCTACAGCTAGGAAATATGGTTATATTTCCCTTCCATCTGGTACTATTCCTAGCAAATGCTCGAAACCCAGTGTCATGGTTTGGGCAATTCAACAATTCTGATTAGTATTACTAAGTCATCACAAAGCTGTTATTATATAAACTGTATTACTTAACATACGTATTACATTAAATATAAAATAAAATGTATTACATAAAAGCTGTCCTGGGGATGCTTTGTTGCAAAGGTATACTTATGATTCAGATCTCCGCATTTCCAGGAACCCTGACACAGTCATTGACCCATAGGCCATAGCTGTTTGCCTAATGGAAGTACGTATGAACCCACGTCCATGAGGTCATGGCACACATAGAGCTGTGGGTCAGGATAGGATGCTCTTAGGGAGTCGTACCTGCTAGTGGGGCACATCCCCTTGCTTGAAGAGCAGTGTCCTTCCCTTAAGATCACAGAGTCATGGATTTGGATCATAGAATCATTCGGGTCAGAATGCACCTCATAAAGTCTCCCCCTTTTCAAAGTAGGTTCAGCCAGGAGCTCAAAACCAAGTGCTTGGTGCTTTATCCAGCTTGGAAAGCTCCAAGGTTGGTGACTGCTGGGCAACCTCTGCCACAGCTTCACTGTGTCCTTGAGGAAAATTTTCTCCTTATAGGCCACATGAAGATACCTTGATTCAGCTTGTGCCTGCTGCCTGTGATCTTCCCACTGTGCACAATTACAAGGAGCCCTCCCAAGGACCACCCCATAGGTACTAGGGAGCTGCTGCCTGGAGGCATCTCCTCTCCAGGCAAAATAGGCCCCAACTCCGCAGCCTCTCCTCACACGACAAATGCTCCATCCCCAACTACTCTGGTGGCCTCCACTGAACTTCCTCCAGTTTTTCTTGAACTGGGGACCCAAAACTGTACACAGTATTCTAGATTTAGCCTAGTAAAGGTGGGTAATTACTTCCCCCTTTACTAATGGGCCATGTTACTGTTAATATGACCCAGGATGCTGTTGACCTTCTGCTGCCAGGGCACATTGAGGGCTCATGTACAGCTTCCTGTCTACCACAATCCCATTCACCAGGAGTAAATGGTTGATGATGACAGATTTGCTGACTAGCTATTTTTGAAATCTGAGATCTATGAGAGACATCGGGGACTCAATACAATTGCAAGAGAAGCACATTTTGAGGCAAGAAGTTATAATGTCCTGGTCCCAACAGTGAGGTTCCTGTTCACTGTGAGAGACTAAATAAAGATTGGATTCTTTACTGACAGGACTGTAAGCACCCAGACCAGGGAGAGGTGGAGAGTCAGTGGAACTGGAAGTCGGCAACCATTTTTCAATCAACAGTAGTTATATTAAGGATGCTGCCTAATTTGTCTTCAGGAAAAGGTTTTGCTTAGTGGGACACATTCAAACACTTAACAACAAAGCCAAAATAACTACACGGAGCACAGAAACATGATTAAATACTGAGCAAGTGATAGATAACAGAAGGCAGTTGCACATGTGCTGCTCTAAAGGGACAAAGGTAGAGGCTGGCCCAGATTGGCAAAAGCATAAATCCTACTAAAACCAAAACCTGCACACTCTCAAGGAACTGCACAAAATGATTGTAAACTACTGCCATCCAAAGAAGCTCAAACATAGCAAGGAAGTTGATTTTTATGTTTTTTGGGGTTTTTTTCATAGACTGGTCTTCTACAGTTGGTAAAAGGAAACAACATCAGGATTCTATGCATGTACAAACATTTATGTGCCAGCAGCCCTTTAAAGATCAAACAGTAGAACAAATTCCCATGCAGCTGGAGATCTGCCAGAATGTGTACCTAAATCCCTGGGGAAACCAAAGAAACCGCTCCACGCCCAGAAGGTCAGGCAGATTAAAAGTGGGTTGTAGTTTTCATGAGGGATGCTAAACAGAGGTTCTATACCACATATAAAAACCAGTTGTGTTATCCAGTATCCTGATGTACAAGAGAGGAGATACTTCACAGAAAGATTCTTCCCCCTATAAAACAACCCTTACAAGAAGGGTTCACCTAGATTTATAACCAATAATCCACATCCAAATCACAGATACATCTTTGCAATTAGTCTTCTATTAAAACACAGATGAATAAACAAAAATACATGTAAATACATAAATGTGTATACATATCCTACACATAAAAATCCAATAAGCATTTCAGAACACTAACATCTCTTGATAAAGCAAACAAATGAAATTATGTGGTTGGTAATTGCACCTTCATGAGATTCAACAAGGCATACAACTTTTTATATTGAGTGTATTTGTCCTAAAAGTGATCTAATGAACCTTTGTAAAGTCATGGGTTTAATATTGCACTCGAAACCGAGTACAATAACACCATCATTGGGAAAAAAGTCCTGCGGCAAGTAATATCAAATGCAGCATCTCTGTGATGTGATTTCATTATGTTGTTGGCTCATTAACATATGATGTGTAAAAGGAAGATAATGACTACAGAGCTCCTGAACTGCTACATTATGTCAGCTACCATTACAACAGGATAAGAGTAAGAGGTAGTGTGTGCACAGACATTGTCTTTCAGGTATTCAGTTGGCCCACAACTCTGACACACCAGTACGAGTGACAAAAAAATATAAAAGTAATGAATTATTTATTTCACATACTATTTAACAACATATTATTTAACAACCCCAGCCTTCCAATCCATCAAAGTAACATGAAGAAGAAAGACTAGAAGATTTTATATGTAGAGCAGTGGGCTGTTGACTCACTGTTTCATAGAACCTGGAAAACCCTAGTTTTCACTGCCTCAGGTATTCAAGGACTTGATTAAACTGCAGTGGTTTGAAAAATCTAACTATAGCAAATAAAACTGGTAACTGCCTTCAAATAATATTTGGAATTAAAAATTAGGGAAAAAAACTAAACATACTATCTGCAAAAACACTATATAATAATCATGTAATGAATGTACTCAACATAGATCAAATTGTCCACATGCAATCATAAACACCATTAACTGTGTCCTAAAAAGTTTCAGATAAACATGCAAATGAGAGTCTTCTATCCTAAATTTTCAATATCATGTGAACTTATTGAGCCACTGGAGTCGAAAACAAAACTCCTGTTCAACAAAGGTAAGCAGAAGCCATTATGTTTCTAAATCTCATAGTTACACAGGTAGCCTTGGAGAAGCATAAAGGCTTCACAGAAATCCAGTCTTGTATCTGGATGAATCCTGAACTTCCAGACAGGAACTCACTAGATTATACTCAACACACTTTGCTCATTTGGTGTAAGTCAGTATAAGAGAAAAAATCAAGCCTTGAAACATGATCATCATACATCCGATCTGGTTTCTCTAATCTACCAAAATGAGGGCTGGGATGTAATTTGAGAGGTTTTCTACTACAGCACAGTCACCTAATGCAGGATCATGTTCAGTATATATTAAGGAAGCAGATCAAGTTACCATGAGGTAATGAGCCAATTGCTTGTGATAAATGACCATGCTGGCACACTAAAAGAGAATACATTATTCAAAACTTTGCTAAAAAAGGCATCAGCAACTGTTTATCAGCACTCAACACTAGATTGTTGATCTTCCCTCAGAGAAATCGGACCATTTCTTAAGATTGATTAATGATTGCCCAATCCCCTTTAGTACCTGTTCCAGCAAGCCTTATCAACACAAGACTGACATAGCAGACACCTTAAATTTCTCTTTGTCCAGCCAAAACTCACATATTGTCTTTCTTTAAAGGAGGCACTCATGAAGACTAACCAGCTGCTAGGCTCTTAGTCCCATTGTACTCAGACTGTTTCTCACAGTTCATCTTTTCTAAGCCTCTTAGTATTCATAATGTCATTCTGTGGACTGTAAATTGTGGGCCAAAGCAAGCAGTACATATTATTCCACCTGATACCTGATCAGTACATCAGCTACAAAAGTATATTCCTGATCCCCAGGAATCTTTACTGCAGTCCGCTGTCTCCTATTTTATGTTCAAAATGTTGATTATTCTTTCCCCTAAGTGCTTACTGGATTTCTTCATACTGATTTCTGGCCATTGTATCCCCTTTCCAGTAACGTTTTAAATCATAACCCTATTCTTCAAAATGCTTTAGTATCATGTGAAAATTTTACAATTTCCTCCCTTCGGTTATTTAATGAAAGTATTGAACAGCAACAGAACTCGGACAGAGAGACAGCTCTGTAGGTAGGATTCCATTTAACAGAACCTCCTACTTTGACAGAGAACTTAAGATTGCTCTTTACATTTCCATTTTACATTGATTTCATCTTACTTACCTCTCATCCCAACCCTCATCCGCTCAGCAAGTTACCCTCTAAAAAATGACTTAGAGGATAAAAACAGTGTTGACAAATTCAGATGAAAATGTGAAACCATAGACCTTAATTTTTAATGTTATATCTGATTTTTTAAATAATCTTTTCCAAGGCCTATTTTTTGAGTCAAGCCTCTATAGTTTGTCCTTAGATCTCCTTTATCCTGAAACACGATAAAACATCAAAGTTTTCTGGCTTGGGAAACCTTTGTGCACAGGTGCTGCAGAAAAGCTGACTCAAGGTATATTTGCAAGGGAAATCCTAAAACTGATGAGAAGATGCAACGGCAACAAGAGCTCGCCACTGACATTACTGCATTCTGGTCCAAATTCTGCTTTTAACTGTACTCATCACCTGGCTGTGTCAGAACTGCTTGTTTCCGACAGAAACCCAAACAGGGAGAAAAAAGGCAGCTGAGTAAATTCCATGGGTGCTCCTCTAGAACTGCAGAATGTTGATAAAATATAAAAGTAGAAACGATATGACCTAAGCTCTACAATAGGAGTTGGCTGCAGCCTTTAGACTGTGTTGCTCCAGATCCCAGGGAATAGCACAAAATCCAAGTATCAGCATCTTCTGCTCTGTAGTTGCAGCAAATCACCAAGCATGCAACTATCCTGAAATCAAGACCTGTCCACCTGCCCCACAGTCAAGAAGATGGCAGAATTATCACAGCAGCAATAGTGAGGGTTGCATCTGAACTGTCTCATCATCACATCTCCACCTGTTCTCAGTGTGCTTTTAAGCAGTAAAAAGAAAACCAAATCTCTAAATCCCCATTAACATGCAGAATAAACAGGAATAGATTTGTAAAGTGAAATAGCTAGCCCTGAGGATCCAATGTCTATGCTAAAATGATTTCAGAAAATTTTACACTAAGCTGGTTCCATTAGAATAGTATGGACTGAATGTATTTGGTGTACTTGTGTATTTTTTCTTAGTACAGTTGATTTAGGTTCATTCAAAGGGAATGCATTTTTGTGCTCTGAGGTCACTCTCTGATGTAAACCAAAGCTTGGTAATTGGGGAAAACTTGCTTCAAAAGCATAATTTACATGGACCTGACATGCTAAAGGGTGCTGAAGTCTTTGCATTCATTAGAGGTCTGCCATTCCCTTTGCAAAGAACTGTGCTGGTTTTGTTGCCAAGGCCCTCCTCCAACTGCGAACAGGAGACAGACAGTGCCTGAGACATACAATTGTGGTATTCATGGCAGAGAAATTAATTCAGCTGTGTGAAAATTTTGAAAATCAAGCAGCATTTTTTTCAAGCCAAAT